GTGAAATAAAATATTAACTTGAATAGCTCTAAAAAACCTGGATTTGTTTGATCTTAACTAGGCCTTTTAAAAACCTCCTTTAAGTATATTATTTCCCTTATTAGTGGGAAATCTACTGTGTTAAAGCAAAAATCAGCTTACCCAACAAAGGCCAATTTTGACTTTTTAATGAAATCCTCTAACACAGCTAAAATTAACAAACATCCCTTAAGACATTGTCCAAGACAAATGTTTTTTGAAACTGCCAGAGCATCAAGGTTTATATTCGTGATAACAACAAGTGAACAAAAGAAAGAGTTTTTAAATGAATTTCTCTTACTATCCTCTGTGTTTCCTGGGAATAGTTCAGTTCACTAATTATTTCAAATGCTACCACCAAACTGTTCCAGTTCAAGGCCTCATTCAAGGCCTCATTACTGGTATTATTCCCACAAGTTTGCCAGTTCATAAAAGCAGTCAAGCTAGATATGCCACTTGCTAAGTTGCTAATATTGCAGAACCTTTTGTCTGGTCCAGTCACAAAAACAGGCCACAGAACTCCAGGTTAAGTGTGAAAGGAGATCTTGCTGGGTGTGAGTGTCAATAAAACTAAGTATTGCTGGACAGGAAATGATTTTCTCCTTGAACAAATATGTTCATAATTTTCCTCTTCTACATAATAGGGATGAGAGAGACATTCCAAAAGTCCACTCAAATCAAGCAGAGAAAGAAGGTTAACAGATATTATCATGTCCTTAATGAACACCTCAACCTCTAGGCCAGAAAGTCAATCCCTTCTATTGAAGCTGTTTTATGTTGTATATGCAACAGCTTCTGCTGGATTTGCAGCACAGCTCAGGATCCCTGCAAAGGCAGAATGGGACAGTTTGCAGAAAGTTGTTGCTTGCAAGAGCATATCCATGTGTTTGATTGGCTCCTGAGGAGAGAGGGGAGGGAACTCAGCCTCGGGGACTCAGCCAGGCTCAGAGAAGGAAAGGTGCCCTGGGACCACAGAGCTCAAGAAGGAATCACCCTGCAGCCTGCCTGGCTGAAGTGAACCTGCCTTTAGTGATGGGGAGAAGACATGATATCCTTTTTTCCTTCTGTGAGGCAGAGGGAACCATGTGGAGGAAAAAGGGTACTAAGGTAGACTTGCCTAAGAGGGCAGGGTGTTGATCTGCAAAGGCTCTGGGAAGAGTTAACTGAGAACCAGCCTGGGGCCACATGGGTGATAAACTCAGGGTTGTTTCAGTTAGCAGCACAAGGGGCAGTGTCTGGGAATCGGAGAAAGGTGCTTTTGGAGAGGGGGGACAGTGTGTGTTTCTTTGCAGATACCATAGACAACTGGAACAGAGGAGAGCTGCTCTTCCCCATGATGCTCTAGCAGACAGCAGGACTTTCTGGAGCAGCAGCACCAGCCATGGTTATTGTGTTGCCAGTGTGAAGAAGAACTGATGTCTTGTTAACCCTGTGTGCTCCTACTGAAATTCACTGGAGTCTCAAGGGTTAAGCTGGGGAGTTGAACTGAGGGTGTCGTTGATTCAATTTGTACTGAGTGTTTTAGTTCATTGATACCTGCCTTCAACAATTAGATTATCAATATCCTGTTCTGCTATTATCTTCATTCATATGTTGACTGTTTTGTAAATAATAAACTGTGTAAATAGTTAGACTATATGTACTCCAGTGTAACTGTAATTTTTTTTTCTTGCATTCCAACTCTGTTTATATTTGCTCTACCACTGGTCTATTACTCCCTGCCTTTTTTCCTAGTTTTCTGGTAACCTGAGAAGTGTTTACTCCAGTGTATGGGGAAACCAGAAGAAAGCACTCCATGAAGAGGTAGCCTCAGCCTTAGGGGCTGGGAGGTTGACCAAAACTATTTGAGACCCCAGGACCCTGAATCTAGATGCGGCCATGGGTAGCACCATGGCTAGGGTCACATATATGTAACCCTTCTGCTGGGCACAGGTCAGCAGCAAGAAAGGCCAGGTTCACATTCCAGGGTACCCAATGAGTTATACCAGTGGCTCAAGCCTCCACCCAGAAAGCTGGGAACACTAAATTTGTCCAGGGTATCCCACAGAGAAAAATCCCCATTCCTGCAAGTAGTGTAAACCAACACACACAAATTTATTTCCAAAACATAAACAAAAAAAATCAAATAAAAGAACTAAACTTTAAACACAATATAAATGTCATCTCTATAAATACAGTTTATAGGTTGAACCTGTTTAGAAAGACTTCACCCCAGCCCAGGCCAGTTTGGGACTTGGTGCTCCCTGAAGGGTTAGTTCCAGGGCCCACACCAGAGCTGTCTTATGACTGGAGTTCACCACACATCAGGAAGCTGCTTGTGGTCAGCAGTTTGGCTGTGGTGTAATGGGCCCCTCACCACTCCTGGAGAAGTGGTAGAACACTGATCTTTGCCCCCATTGAGAAGTTGTGTGAGGGAGTGGCTACAGCTCCAGCCAGCATACACATGCCCCAAAACTTCTGGCCTGGATTGTACAGCCTGCTGAAAGAGAAACTGCAGGATAAACTTAAAAGGGAGCCAGGTTGATTACTGGCTACAGTTGGCCCCAACCATAAAGCTTGGCTAGAATCAAGAGAAACAAATGGGGAACACCAGGCCTATAAGCCTGGGCTGCATGTAATCTGGGTCACAAACTCCACTGGGAGCAGAAAGTTACAAACCTCAAAGTTGGCCCGAAACTGGCAGAACCCCAACCCTTGCCAATCTAGCAGAATTAGAAACTCCCAGGTTTTAATTCAGTTAAAAGCTGCTAGTCCTGGCCAGCCAACCCAAACAATCAATACCTTTTTCCCCAATATAAATCCTTTAAAACCTCAGAAAAGTGGGGAGAAAAGGAGGAGAGAGGAATTCCCAGACACTGGGATATTTCTCTCCCTCTCTCTCCTCTACCTGAGTTTCCCCTTTCTCTAGCTGCAGATTCCTTCTCCCATTGGAGCATGAAAGAGAAACCGACTATATTTTTGTTGTTTGGTGGGCAGGGTAAGAGTTGGGTTCAAGTACCTCCCTCTTCCCAAATAAGAGCCATAACCAGAGTGGTATTCCAGGATGGTATTCCCTGTATTTTGACCAGTAAGAAATATTACAACAGAGATGAGAAAGTGTTCCATATACAGCAATATATTTTAATGAAAAAGTCAATTTCAACTAATCAGCATTTGCTAACAACAGCAAATGACTGAAAAATTCCTGAGCAGAATCAAGATTGCATATTAAACTTACTTTTCAAGATGAATGGGGACAGATTTCAAATCCTTCTCACTTGTCACCTTACTCACAAATGTGTAGGTAAAAAAGGTAGAAGCCTGCATGGTCATGGTATTTATTGTTAAACTTCACAAGTTGTTGAGTGAATGGGAGTAGTTATGAGAAAGGCAAGTGAGTTAGGGTGTTGTTGCATGTTATAATTAAGACATACTAAAGTTAGGTGGCATTAAAGTTAAAATGTTGTCTGAGCAGTGGCACATTAAAGGTTCATGTCCCCTCTGACTTGCACTTTTCAGACTTTCTGCTACAGAGCTGGTAAGCAGGGGTGTGGCTATACCCTACCAAGCTCCCCCTGCTCACCAGCTCTCCAGTGACTCCCCCCTCCACTGAGATATATCCCCCACCCTTGTCCTTAGGGCTCACCTCCCACCCACCCACACCCAATGTTGTTCCCTAACTTCAGGCTCCCTGTTCACCTGCAGTTGCTGGTGGTATCCCAGGGGTGAGAGAAGCTCCTGTTCTGCTCCAGAAACTGCAAGGGCTGGGCTCAGCCCAGAGACTATCAGCAGGAGTGGGCAGGTGAGTTTCTCTTCCTGTCTGCATTCTGGCTGCTGGGAAAACCCCAGAGGAGCAGACAGGGTGGGGGAACCCTCTACCACCACCACTGCTGCCACTCTTTGGGAAGAGTCCAGCCCCTGCAGTGGTACAGGAGCATCTCTCACCCCTGGGAGAGCTCTGGCAGCCAATGAAAAGCCCCATGAGGAAGCAGGGTCAGCTTGAAATGGAACCAGGAGTGAAGGGAAGAAGACATGGCTCTGAGCATGAGCAGGAAGGGGAGGGTAGGATTCTTACCTTCTTTGGGACTCCCCTGGCTGCCAGTTATCCCCAGCTGCCATTCCTGGGCAGTAATCCTCCATATCTGGGGGAGGGAGCTTGGATTAGTGCATCTTGGGATCCCACAGGTTCACTCCCAACTCATATTGGCTCCATGGAGGAACCTAATGATACTGCAACACAAGCTGCCTAAGTCAAGAAGTCAGGCTACAGATAATCTTCATACAACAAGGTTTATCTCTGAGATGTTCAGAGCCCACTAAGTTCATCTTTTCCTTACTTAATAGACACTCCCATTTTAACAGCCATTAACACATCGGAAAGATAACATGTAACAACATGCTTGTTTCTCTAGTGAAGTTGAATCCCAGAATAAGTTAGGTAAACACTTCTCAGGTTATCAGAAAACTAGGAAAAAAGGCAGGGAGTAATAGACCAGTGGTAGAGCAAATATAAACAGAGTTGGAATGCAAGAAAAAAAAATGACAGTTAATATTGCTACACACATACAAAGCAACTGATCATCAACCTCAACAAATAACCCCCTCACAACTAACCAGGGGTACCTATGTGTGGTAACAACCTGAAATTCTCTAAGACAACTCATGCTACCATGCCTGATAAAAACCAAGTGACTTGAATTTTATTCAGAAGTATATCATAGCTTGGCTCAGAACACCAAGGATGACCTGAATTCCTGAGTCAAGGAGCTTTTATGATAAACACCTTGTTGGCAATTCCTCCCTACATTTGAAAGCAGGAGTACTACTGATGGCAAATCTGGAAGTATAGTACAATAAGAAAGAACTTCTCAATTTAGCACCAATCCATGTATTGTTATAGACAGTTAGGACTGTTGGCACTGGATTATGACCAAGATACCTTGTTCCAGGCAAACCCAAACCCTCAGACTGATCACAACCTCTTCATTTGATAATAGGTGAATTTTATTGATACACAGTAATAGCACGTAAGAATGATGCAAACAATTCTATTTATCTACCAGTCCCAGGGTTCATAGAGTCAAGGTACATCTGGCCAGTACACAAGCTTCACTGTGAGGTTCTTTCTTGGATGTCAGATGTCAGCAACCTGAAGGTTGGAGGGCTCACGTCCCCCTCCGCCTGTGGTGTAGATTAGACAGGCTGGTGGTATGTCCTCTGTCCATGGTGGCTTTGGGTTCCCCTCTCAGGAACCCTCTTCCGCTCTAAAATCCCTCCTTTTATATCTTTTCCCCTCTGTGATGACTCTTCATCTTTGGGCATTGCTGATTGATCTCTCTATTGTTGTCATACCATCCACATTCTGTCCTGTCAGGATATTTCTTTGCTTCACAAGCCCATCACATGCACACATCCTAATTTGGGCTTTCCCAGTCTTCTAATTTGATCTCTGTACCAAAATCAGAAATCCCAAGGGCCCTGCAGTTGAGCATTGTGATCTGGTGCCACCTTATCTTATGTTATGGAATAATGTGGTACAAGTCTACAATTTCCCAGCTTGTGTGTCTGCTTGCCTGTGTGAGACACAAAGGGCCTTAAAGCACAAGCAGGCTTTTTAGAAATCAAGTAACCCTTCCCGTTGCCCTGGGTATTGTTCTGATGCATATCTACTTTACCTACAAGCCAATTCCCAAAAGCAAACCTCTAAATACCATTTTCTAGCCATCAAGGACCAGCTCTTTTTATGCCATTAAGGAAGTCACTGGTAGCAAGTGTAGCTAATAGATCATTGGTGTTAGATGTTTTCAACAAAAGACTTAATTAATAAGTAAGCTGCAGCTGGAGTTCCTAATGGTGTTGAAATGGAGCTGCAGACAGTAATTGAGTTATGAGGTGGCAAATGTATGGATAAGTATCTTAAGGAGCCAGCTGGTAACCTGGGTCAGCAGCTGAGCACTTGGGACAGCAGGACACTGGGAGCAGAGGTAACATCAAGCTGTTGTCATGCCACTGGCACTACTATGTGGCTGCAACAGCAACTGATATTTTTCTCCCCCCCAACAAGTTGGCACTCAGAGCAGCTACACTGTTTGCCCCACTAGCTATGCTATTGAAAGGAGCATATCTGAAATAAGTATTTACCTAACCAGGCTTTTTGGGCCATGCATCAACATGACCATCTAATAACAACCTCATTTGAAACATATTGGTATAACTCTGGGTATGAGTTCCAAATACGGGTAACATGTCTCTAACAAGAATATTAGGCCAATTGCCTTCACCAGTCAAGATATGTTCTTATATCTGGACTCAGACAACTAGCTCTTGCAGATATTGGTATGAACAAGAAATATCCCCCTTTCTCTCTCCCCAGAAATTCCATCATGTGGCTTTATATCATCACCTAAATTAATCATCAGATGTCTGTCACCTGAGCAAACAATAGCAGACAGCAGTAGTGGGTAGGCTAGCACACAGGTTAATCATGGGTACTGTTTCAGGCTTTGGAGGAGAGTGTGTTTGAATGCTCATCAACACTTCTATGTATTTCCCCCCAGCTTGATGCCAATATCTCTACTCCTTCCAAACTGTTCCCCATCCCAGTCTAATTTACCTCATGTGTCCCTTTGTCTCTCATATGCTTTCAGCAAGCCACCCCACTTTTCTCCAAGGCAGAGAGAAGGAAGAACCTGGATTTAACAGGCCAAAGGTGCAATTGAAGGGAAAGTGTTGATTAGTTCTATGATTATCTCATGTAGCTGCCCAGTGGGCATGTCTACATGTGTCCCTATGGCACATTTCTTGCTGAGCCATCATTTAGTATTTCCTGTTGGAAGTACTAAATGATGGTGCAGTAACAGCCCACCCTGCACCGTGCGTGCCACGCATGGTTATTTTAGCTGCTATGTCTTCATAGCAACAGCAATGTAGCTGCAGTGTCACAGTGATGTAGTGTCACGTGTAGACACATCCAATGTAGACAGAATCTTTGAGAATGTTGGTGCTAAAATCTAATAAATTTCCCGGGTTTTTGGTGACTGCAGTCTTTCAAAGGTTTTTAACTTGTTCCAGCTTATAGAGACTATCAGTAAAACAGCAAAAGTCACAGCCCTGATACAAACGTTATCCCCTGACAAATTTAAAGACCTTTTATCTAAATTATAGGAGTGCAAAGAAAGAAAATCCACTAAAGTTCCTTATCACTGGACCAAATCATTTGGGACTGAAATTTTCCAAAATTATTCAGGCTTCATGAGATATTTAACCATAAAAAATTTCAGGCCAAACAATTACAAGTTATAACCAAATGAAAACCATATCTTATAACAGGATATATTAAGGTCAACCAACCTTAAAAACAGGGATTGCTACCTGCCATGTCTAGTTTATTTATATTAAATATTCACACACACACAAAGGTACCATCACATGGCTAATTACCTCTTTAGTGTTCCAAAAGGATCATTTTCCACATTTCATTGTCCATGTCTCTGTTTTTAATTAAAACCATAGCCAGTTTCACCATATTTTCACTGTCTAGAAGCAACAGCAAAGCCAGACTTTACATTACTTTAAGCAAAAATACTTCAGCCATGAATTAAGTATAAATAAATGAAGCACAGATAAATTTCAGCTCTAGGGATGTTTCCCTGAATGTATTAAAATGTGGCAAATGCACACCACTTCAAATAAAAATACAAATATTTGTAACTCAAATGCACATAATGCAATACAGACACTTATAATATCAAATGGGTAGAACAAGGTAGCACATTGGAAACCAACTAGTTCAAAAAAACACACATATATCCATATATCTTAAAATGTGCTCTTAATTCTAAATATGGATAAAACGTTAATTGCATGAGCTTCTACTTGTCCCCAGCCAAGAGAGATACTTAGATTGTTGGCTATCATATTGCTTGATAAACATTTTTGTCCTCAGATTCATATCTGATTAACTTGCCCTCCTGCAGTTACAGTTACAAACCACAGCTACAATTAAATGACATGAATGTAGTACCAGACTGCACACATATTTATCGTTGCCATTATGGCCATGTACATACACACATGTATAAAAGTGCTGCAGCTGTTTCCAGCTGCCTTTGACCCAGCAGTATGTATCAACACTGAATTATCCTAATTCAGTTGTCAGAACCAGTAAAAGACAAGCAGGCAAGCATTATGACAAGGGGAAATAATTAATGCTTCTCTCCTTGCAATGTTTCTACATGTAGAATCTTTCAATGCTATTTCATCAGCACCAGAACAAAAGGGAACTTTTCTAATTTGTTTCTTGACTATGAATGGCCATGAGATGATAAATTCATTTCTACCATCTCACCTACAAGAAGCAAAGCAATTAAAATAGAAAAAAAATAGACAAATAAACATCAACAGAAATGCATAATGCACTCAAGAAAAGCAAGGATCTGCTGTTATCATGTTCCTATTCTTCCCTGTCTGTTTATGAACCTGAATTGTGTAATGTGACTTTGCATAATCTTTCAAACAGAGCAGGAACTTTACTTGTTCTGTAAAGTACCTCATATTTTTGAGTCTTCTCAATGTAATTTATTAATTGAAGAAAATAGTGCTGGAAGGGACCTCAAGTGGTCACTGAGTCTCACTGTTTTGACAGGATCACACCTGCCTAACAATCTCAGACAAATGTTTACCTAACCTTCAGTTTAAAACTTCTCTCTAGGTAATCCATGCTGGTGCTTAAATGCTCTCATAGTTGTAAAGACTTTCTTACTAACTAAATCACGTTTGTTACAATTGAAGTCATTACTTCATGTACCATTGCCTGTGGATTCTGGAATTATGGACAAATATATTTGGAGCTGTTTCAAAAGAGGAATGTTTCAAAAGGGCAACAGTTTTTACATTCTGTTACATGTGTACAAGCCCAGAATGATACAAATGTAGCAAAACTGTTCCAACTTTAACCCTGGATTAAGCAGTGGTCAAAAAGTAACAACTGCTGCCATTTTAAAACATTCCCCTTTTGGAAAGTCTCCAAGTTTATGTGTGTCTATACCTTAAAAACAATTGTCCTCCTCTTCATAAGAACTGTGTTTATATTAGAAGACTATTACAAATTCATCTAGTCTTAACTTAGCTAGCTTAGCTTAGCTCATTTTTCAGATCTGCAGTCATTTTGTTAATCTTCTCTGGATTCATTTGTCCATATCTTTCTGAAGGGGCAGTGGCCAAAACTCTACATAATGACTGCGATTAACCATTATTCACAATTAATAATGCATCCATAAATTGTGCTGCAAAAACACTTCATCTTCTTATGTAGGCATGCCTATGAGCTGCAGATGCAATAGTGACATACCCTCTGTATCAGGAACCAAAAATGCTAAAGATACTCTCTGTATCTTAAGCAAAACAGGTACTATTGAAATACCATTCTGTTCTAACACCATGCCTTAATCCTCATCTGCCTTAATCCTCATCTGGAGACTCTCAGATGCGGACAGGTAGCATTTAAACAAATCTCACATCCCATTTAAGTCTCCAATCACTTTGCCAAGGCTAGCAGCAAATCCACCTATTAATGCCAAATGACACTAATGTTTTGTTATATCATGTTTTGTAATTTGATTGCACTGAGCACCTCAGCTCCAGAAAGCCATCAGTAGTAAATAGCTTGGCTTAGTTGATTCTAATCTTTTCCTCCTATCATTGCACCTTTTTGAGAAGAAGTAAGAGCTGTCATAGAATGAGAAAGAATGGGAAGTAGGGTGGAGAAAGGAAACGATATGAATAAAGGTATCTGAAGGATTGGATGGAGTAAAGGAAAGGCAAAGGAATAGGAAGAGACAGATGAGGAAATGGAAGGCTAGGAATGGGAACAAGAGAAAAATGAAAATGGAGAGAAAGAGGATGAGAAGGAAGATGCATGGATTTTGTGTTTGCTGGGCACGTCTACACAAGCTACTACATTGTCGTAGTGATTCACTACAGTAGCTTGCCACTACAGCAACATAGCATGGGCAGGTACAAACCATGACATCAATGTTATGTTGCCGTAGTGATGAGCTACCTTGCTATAGCACTTCGCTATGGCAACGTAGCTGCTAAAAATAACTGTGCACTGCTGGGACTGCACGGTAATGGCTGTTACTGTACTATCATTTGGTACTTCCTAAAGGAAGTACTAAATGATGGTGCAGTAACAGCTGTGCCATGGGGGGCACGTGTAGATGCACCCACTGTGTATTATAGATGCAAAAGCTCAAGACTTACTAGTTCTAGTATACAAACTTCTACCCATTAAGCTAAAGAACTTCTAAAGTTGCAGATATAGGAATATTATTGGCATTAATTGTTAGAAGCCTGGAGTCCCCTGTGGTTCAGTGGTAGAATCCTTGCCTATCATACAGGAGACCTGGGTTCAATTCTGACACTTATACAACTACAGCCATGGAGGCAGCAAACATCTAGACTCAGTCTGGTCTTTGGATTCTGTCTCAGTGGCCTAAAGAGAGGATGGCAGGTCTGGGCATCTTCCACTCCTCTGAAAAAAAAATTCCTGCTCAGGCATATGCATCAAAGGTGTGGGTGACCCTCGTGCATAAATCACTATCCAGGAGGATTGACAATTGCCATATTAGAAACCTAGTAACTTCTCTGAGACTTTGGAGAGCCACATGTTTAGGTAGATCTGGTATTTAAGCTAAATAAAGCAGTGATCTGCAACCTCTATGCAGTGGTGGGCAAAACAGTTTGGCTCCAGGGCTGGCCAGACCTAAGATTTAGCTGATATCCCTGCTGTTTGGATGCAGCAGGGATATCATGAACAAAACCCTTCACCACCAAGCAATAGCTCTACCTTGGCAAATCCCCTCAGTACCAAAGCCCTTAGGGCCAAGTTGCAGTGCAGCATGGAAGAAGTCCCCAATGCCAAACCCCTGGTTGCCTGCCTGTGATGTGGCATGAGAGAAGCCCCTCACTACTGAAGCATCTTGGTCCATGGGGTAAAATCAAGAGCTCCACAGACTGAATTTAGCTTGCAGGAGGTAGGTTGCTGAGAGCCAAGATAGAAACAATGATGACTCACAAACCCTATCCATTATATTCCAATGAAAAGAAAGAAACAGCTAGGGAAACAGAGTTTTCCCCTAACACAGGGCTCCAAGAGCTTGTGGCAGACAGTAACTTTTATCCTTTTATATTGCTCCCTGACCAAGGAAAAGTGGGAGAGAAGATGCGAACAACCCTACATTTGGGAGAAAAGATTACAGTAACCCTACAAGAAATTGCTGAAGAGATACAAATCATGTGTTTACAGATATTTATCCATGACTTTTCTGCACTTACTACGTTATGCTTATATCCCCCTTGTGCTTATGATATGTATACCTGCAACCTCTAAGGGTACCTATCACACGTGCAACAAGACTGCTCCTACCTGCTGTAATTACAGCGCATTGGAGCAGACTTGATTAATCAATTAATCAAGTTTGATGGAGCCTAGTGTAGCCAGGGTAAGGTAGATCAATGAATTCTCCCCTTTAGGGACTCTTCTGCCACGCCTTTGTTATTGAAAGAATGAGAAAATATGTTAAGTCCTGAGAGATCATGCAATCCATCACCCTGCTAGTAAGCAAAATGAAAATTGGTTTTATTAAGCTTCTTTGCTATGTAACCTGGGTACACCCAGGGGTGTGCCCTGTCTGCAAGTGGAAGGGATGGGGTGGTCAGACAAGAGTGCTGCAAGACGGGCCTGCCACTGAGGAGCAGTTCCCTCTTTTCTCTATAGAGCCAGGCTGGGACCAAGCACTTAACTATATACAAATGTATTGTTATACAAAAAAATAAATATGAATAAGAGACATTACATATTTACAGTAGAATTAGTATGTGACACCATATACAATAACCTGCAAATAACACATTGTACTACTTTGAGGGACTGCAAAACATAGAACAGGTAACTGGGAACTCAGTACAGGTGACCCACAGCACAGGTAATAATTAACCCCCCCTGCAAAGATGAACATTAACACCCTGGAACAGGTAAGTCAAGGCATTAACATAATAAACACATATAAGCATCAACTTAGAAACCAATATAAACCCCCTTATGGAGTACCCATAACTATATTAAGATCAACAATACAAAACAAACATCAATCACAAAATATGAGGTGCGATCAGCACCCCATGGGGTGTTCCCTGGAGCCACTCCCCTTTAGGGCCCAGGATGTGGACACGCCCCCCACCCCCACAATGGAACAGGGTGGAGGCTCCGGACTCTCCCCTCCCAAGGCTGCCTCCCCTGTGGGACCCATTTCCCCAGCAACTCACACTCCCACTCTGAACAGACAAGGTTTGTCCCCTGGTAGCCAGTCCTGCAAAGGCCTCTCTCCAGTAGTGCCTCTGGTTCTCTCGATGGCAGGTGCCCTGCACTGGGCATCCAGGGAGCTTCTACAGGAGCTGAGACCTTACTGGCTCCAGTTCCCCAGCCTCACACCAGGGGTCTTTCCCCTTCCTGGGTCCTGTTCTGGGCACTGGGGCTCTTTTAGTTTAACACTGAGCCACACTGCAGGGCTCTGGCTACCTGGCCTACAGCCGGGGCTAACTTAAGCAGCCTCAAGCCGCTCTCGAGGTTGACTCTCCATGTGCCAACCTGTGCACCGTGTGGGGCCTGAGCAGCCTTGAGCTGCTCTCAGGGCCAGTTCTATGTGCACTGATCCATGCACCGCCCCACCCAGCCACTTGCTGGGTTCGGTGGCTCAAGCTACCTTGAGCAGTTCCCAGAGCCTGAGCGCTGTGCACTGATCCACACACCATCGAGGCTCAGGCGGGGTCCCAATGATGACCTTCTCTGGAGCTCCTCTCTCCTCGCCGTCCCTTGCCAAATCTGTCCAGCATGCTGAGCATACTAGACTTTTATTTACACTGAAGGCCCTGCCCCTAAGTCCACCAGAGCTGCAAAGCACCGTCTTCAATAAAGTCCAGGGGCTCTTCACCCCCCTCACCACCCAGCAAAGGCAGGGCAAGCCCCTCCCCACTGTTACCTGATTGGTGGAAATGTTCCACCAATCTGAAATGTCCTTCTCCAAGCCTGGCTTGCTGGGCAGAAGTGGCAAGCCCACCACAGCTACAATCACTGTCCACAACTTTACTTTCATTTTTCCCACTTGGTTGCTGTAGCAGGACACTAAGGTGCCTGCTACTGAGAGAGCACGGAAGACTCCTCAGGTGCTGGTTGCCAGGGTAATGGGAGGCAGCAAATGACTCACACCTGCCAGCGGTCAGGGCTATAAGAGGCAAGGCCTGGCTCTTATGAGAAGGGAAGAGGGTAGCTGAGACCAGAGGCATTTGCTGATTGGCATCTAAGACAGCAGGCGCTCCCTGCCAGAGAGAGAGAGAAACTCCTGGAGCATGATACAAGGAGAATCCTGACTGCAGGTACTGCTTGCAGATTAAAGGGTACCAGCTCCAAAGAAGGGCCTGGTGAGGAGGGCAACCTTGCAGGGGGAAGAGCCGTGGTGAGAAGGGCAACCTTGCAGGGGGAAGAGCCGTGGTGAGAAGGGCGGCGTATAGAGAAGACCCGCAAGGCCTAGACACGCCGGACACCCGGAGCAGGAGAACTGTGGCCAAGTGGCGGAGAGGTAGCCTCCCTACAAAAAAAACATATCGTCATGGTGGGCAAGAATAGGAGGGTGCAAATCTGAAGCTTGGCACAGTAAAGGAGGTGGCAAGGGCTAGCACGGTGACCCTGCCGTCCCTCCTGTAACAGTTGCAAACAACACTAGAGAGATTAGGTCCTAACCTTTCCTTTTCTTTTTCTCTCTTTGCAGGTCCCTGCTTCCTGCCTCAGTCCCACCAGGAGTTTCCCTCGTCAGACCCACCAGGTAAGTGCTCACAGGTTTTAGAATCCTTTTCCTCTCACTGATCCCTCACCACAGTTCATTTCACCCAGTGAGTTAGGCTTGGCTGCATGAGCTCTCTCTGTCCCAATCTGTCTCTACTCATGCTGGCCATGCTCTCTCCCATCTCTCTGTGTGCCCCTGGGGGCAATCTGCTGCCCCTGAAGTCTTCCTCTTTGTAACCCCCTGACTCTAATCTACTGTGCCCATTTACCCAGTGTGTAACAAGGCACAGCTGTGCCTTGTGCCAGTGTCTGTGCCCTTCTGTAACCTGACTTCCCTCCCCTCTTGGGAGAGTATCCCTACTAAGGAATAGGGTTGAATATCACCCTGGTACACATAGTAATTACCACACTCCAGCAGACTTCAGCATCTCATGTTTCAGCACCCCCGCACTGAAAAATGGAGGCAGGGATGCTTTAACTAAAGCTTATTCGACAAGCTTTAGTTAAAGCACCCCCTCCACCATTTTCCAGAATGAGGATGTTGTTACACAAGACACTCCAGGCACTGTAATTGGAGTGGCTGTTGGAGCATCCCCCCCACACCCCCAATTCCTGGAGCACTTATATAAATTCCCAATGTGATTACTGTATTGGACTTGATGGAAAGTCTAGATAGAATTAAAATGAAACTCAGGTTTATAGCAACCCAGCTTCAGCTTTCAATTTAGAATTGCTCTTGTATCTTTCTAAGGACTTAATCTAATATGATTAATCAATGAAGAGCAAAGTAAAATAGTCTACAGGTTGATAGCATTAGTCTATCATTCTTTTAAGAGCTAGATAAATTCAGGTTCTCTGTAAAAAAGATGAACCCAGAGGCATTTGCTTGATTAACTGTCTGTCTGTAACACAAAACCAAGTCAGAAAGCCTTTCCAGGCTTAAAACTCAATTGATATACAGTTTGGGAAAGATGTATCAAAATAAGGCAATGCAACAAACAAATTCACATTTACGTTCCTGTTAGTAATGTCATTAATATTAGGACTGCTATGTATGGTAGTTTGAAGCAAAACACACATCAGGTTATGAATGTTATTTACCTTCCCTCTGAAAACCCATCACTGTGGCTTGAATGAAATGCAACTATTCCATTTTTATATTAGCCATTACTTGGTCTTAACTTGTTAAAGATTCTTAAAGTTATTTTCATATAAGAAAAGAGTAATAGTTGTGAAAGGTAGTCAGCTTGACAGCTCTCTCTTCAACAATAAACCAAGATGGGTATGTTTGCTATACATTAGGCCAACATTATAAAACTAAACAGATATTAGATTGACAGTTTATATAACTAAACAAGAAGTCCCCTTTTTAAGTCAAGGGTTTATAAAAAGAAAGGAGAGGCATCTTTCCAAGCATGTAATACTGCTGTAATCCAATTTGGCTGGCATAAATCCATTTTGCAAGGAGACAAATATTGGATTAACTGAGATATTGATGGTAAAAATACCAAATACACTGTATTGCTCAAATAAAGTTTACATGTACAAGTTTATGGCTTAATTACTAATATTCCTTATCCTTGTTTTGTGTGAGGAGCTTTTCAAATTCCAAGTGATTTTGGTTTCATGGTATATGTGGGAAATGCAATACCCAGGCAGTAGGCAAGCTTCACATACTATAAGCACAATTTGTAGCTACCAGGAATTATAACTAGGCTCGCTATAGGCCTGAAGCACAGGGTTTGCAAATCTTAGAAGTATGGTTCAACTCCTGTCACACCTAATTAAACTAGGAACTACTGGCCAGCCTGCTGAGAATCAGATCTTGGTACTTTAACAAAGGACACAGATTTTATATTTGTAATGCTTCTTCCATTTCAGCTTTGCACAGTACAGTGATGCACAAACACTTCGGTGAAATAAGATTCTGTGTCAGAAGCAAATGTTTTAATACATTATTAGGGAGTACATTTATGGGAAAGAAGGAAAATAGATATTCCAATATTCTTCAGAGTACAGTGAACCTTTTTTGCAGAAATAAAGGGTTTGGGGATTGCCAGCCCTGTCTAGTTATGCTGGATGAGTGATAGTTTTACTATATAAAATAAAACACATGCCAAATATTAGGATCACCAAAAAGGAAGCATTGCCTCCATCATTGATTAAGGCCCTGATCTTATTTATCCCAGGTCTAACTGGATAGGACTTTCCTACCTTTTAAGCATTAAGTCATTAAGCCCTATTTCATCCTACCCTGTGTGACTAGACCTAAGTAACTACACATGTTCATAAATGATCTGTTATGGACACTTAGGACACTTACACACATGCAGGGAGACTGCTCCAGTGCACTGGAAATCCAGCACGTTGGAGTAGACTTGATTAATTGAGTCTGCTTGAGCAAATAAATTGATGCACTCTGGCAGCATTGTGCGTCATGTGTAACAGCAGTGCATCACGCCTCTGCACTGAGAAAATGGTAGCTGTGGGCTTTGAACTAACACTGAGCGATTTTAATTAGTGCAGCTCACTAATTAAAAGTGCCTGGTGCCATGTCAGGAACACCTGTAAAAATGCCCTTAGGCAACTAAATCAACTTAACTTGTAATGCAATCCAATACCATCTAGAAAAGTACACAACCTCTATGTTAGTCCCCAAGCCTTCATTGGAGAAATGCAACAGACAGGCTGGAAAATGCCAGGAAACCACATGGCTAGAACATAACTAGTAAGTGAGAGACCTTTTTTCTAGGTCCACCTCACCAAAAGCTCCTTGACCTCTCATTTCTCAGGAAAGCACCCTTCTCATCAAGCTGGGAGGGAGTCTTGGCTAAAAGCATTCTATACTGTCTGAAAGCATTTAAAAGAATGTCTATTGCATAGGACAGACAAGATTTATGGGGACATAAGGACAACATGACTACAGAACTGGACTCCTTTTTCGCAAGAGAGGAAGCTACTGCCCTCACAGGAAACCAGCTGCCCTGCTCCACCTCCAGCGATTGTCATTAAATAAAATGGATGACTATTTAAAGTACAAAATTCATTAGGGACAGGAAGCAAGAGCTAGAACCGAAGATTATCTCCCTTCCAGAGTTATATAATTATCCACAACTAATACTTTCTATCTCTGATTGGTTAGGAGACTTTATTCACCATAATGGAATCATGACCTGTCCTTAGGTATTCATACCTTCATCACCTCTCAGCTAGACTACACAGCAATGTGATATACTTGTGCATGATGCCTCCACATACTTAGGAAACTCCAGTTGCTGCAGAATAGTACAGTACATTTCCTCACAAGCTTTGGTAAACACGTCAAATCTTTTCTTTACAACCTATGCTAACTTCCCATAGAACACAAAATCAAGTTCAAAGTCTTTTTCCTAAACTTCAAGGTTCTTATTTGCCTCAGCTCAAGGAACATTACATTGAGACTGGGCATGCCACCAAGAAATAAGCCCTGTTCACCTGCACACCAGCTTGCAAATTTGTAGAAAAGATGACTCAATGCAGCCTCAAGCATTCACCCTGGAACACACAGGACAGACAGCCTAAACATGGTGCTTGTCAGAGGTGTAGCTGCCTAAGACTGCACCCAGACCAGTCTGTACCTTCTGGTTCTGGAGCAGTGGGTAGAAGCAGCAACTGAAATTCACTGCTGTTGAGGGCAGTGAATTAAACTCACAACTAGGGCATTAAACAGTATGACTAAAATCTGCCATGAATTTGTTCCCTCTTCCTCTCCCCAGGTGGAGAATAGTATGCTTATAGTATGTGAAGCTTGTCTACTGCCTGGGTATTGCATTTCCCAATAATACCATGAAATTAGAATCATTTGGAATTTGAAAAGCTCCTCACATAAAACAAGGATAAGGAATATTAGTAATTAATATGGCTTTACACCTCTTTTTTTGCCACAGACACCCATCCTTACACTACTGGTGCTTAGATATGCAGTTGTAGCCATGTCCAGCCATCTCCTCCACAAATTTTCAAGCCACAGGGTTTACACAATGGGTCGGTCTTATTTCTTAGAAGCATACCCAGTGTCAGGAGGCAGTGAAGATAGCCCCTAAAAGCCTTCCTTGAGTTCTAAGGAGAAGGCTGTAATTGTAACTTCAGCAGTGGCAGCAGAAATCCTTCAAAATAGAGGATGATGAATCCCATGGGTCAAGTGAAGGGTTGTAAATGAGTCCACTGGTGGCTAAGAAGGGCGATCATAGAACCACAGACTCTCTGGCAAATGCCACAGGTGGTGGCTAAAAGCAGAGTTGGACCATGGATTTCTCAGCCTTGTTTGCTTTCTTTCCATTTCTGTTGTTTTTCTGCCTCCAGGGCAAAATGGTTTTCCTCAAAGTAGGATGTACCTTCTCTCACAAGGCATCACTATGTAGCTCTGTCCCAAGCTAGTTTTTCCCAATTTGTGGTGTCAGTGCCACACTTCTTAATGTTTTGCTTGAGTACATCCTTGAAGTGTTTCCTCTGGCCCCCACATGTCCTTTGTCCTTGGCTGAGTTGGGAGTATAGCAGTTGTATCAGTAAAAATACATTAGGCATGTACACACAATGCCCTGTACACAGCAACTGATGTTGAATAATCAATACTTCCATACCGGTGGTGGTAGCATTGATGAGGACACTGGTATTTGTGCAACAATCCTCCCACTTCATGCCAAGGATCTTCTGGAGATAGTGCTGGTGATGGTGTTCTAGACTTTTCAGGTGGTCCCTGTAGATCACCTAAGCTTAACAGCTATAGAGAAGAGTTGAGATTACCACAGCTTTATAGTAGGAGCTTTGTTCAAGTCCTGATCTTGTGATCCTTGACCACACAATGATTCAGTCTCCCAAAGGCAGAGCTGGCACATCGGATCCTATACTGGATCTCCATGTCAATGTTGGTGTTATTTGAGAAATGGCTACCAAGGTATGCAAAGCGTTCAACATTCTCCAGCAACTGTTCATCAATGAGGATCTTTGCCAGGTGTGTTAATTATCCCAGAGCAGGCTAGTGAAGCACCTTTGTTTTTCTGATGTTAAGGATCAGTCCCAGGTACTGGTATGCTTGAGAGAAGCAGTTAAGGACCGTTTATAGGTCCGTCCTCCATATGCATGCACCAGAGATGGGGATAGTTGGGGGAGACTGTACAGGAAACCCTTGGTATTCGTGGATGCCGAACCTACATTTTAAATACACTGTAAACACTTACCAGAGCTCCTTGGGAGTTGTGTGCTTGCTGCCGCCAGGCTCCTACTGCCACTGCCAGAGCCATGTCCCCCCCACCAGCCACTGGGGGCACTGCGTTCATGAATGCAGACTGCGTTCATGAACGCCGTGCCCTATTCACGGATTTCGCCATTTGTGGGGATCACAGGAACATATCCCCTGCGAGTGGCGAGGGTCACCTGTAGATGTAAAGAATTCCAACATGAAAATACCCCACTATTCTCTACCTGGGGAGAAGAAAAGGGAACAAATTCATGGCAGATTTTAGTCTTGCTGTTTAATGCTCTAGATCAGAGCTTTCCAAACTTTTCATGTTGGTGACACACTTTTTAGACATGCATCATTTCGCGACACAGTAATTCAGTTCCGGGGGAGGGGCCAAGGGAAGCAGACGCGAGTAAGGGAGCTCCGCGGTGCCCTTCCGCAAAATTTTCTGCATTTCGCGCGACACACCTACACACTGCCGCCGACACACTAATGTGTCGCAGCACACAGTTTTGAAAGCTCTGCTCTAGATAGAAGACACTCAGAAACTACAGGGATGATCACACTAGCAGGACTTTGTACACTAGGGACTTCGTACACTAGGGACTAGGGGTGAGCACACTAGGGACTTTTAACATAGAAAAGTGCTACATAGAGTAGAAATTTGTCTACACTGCAGTTACTGCTCTGATAGCAACTCACATAGAAATACTCAAGCTAGTTTTAAACTAATTAGCCTCAGTACTGATAGCAGAGTAGCAATGACATTATGAACTTCATGGGCTAATCACCTGAGTATTTGTTGTTCCTCAGAATATGCAGCCCATGTTGAGCTCCAAGCTGCCACAGCAACACTACTAGCAGTACTTGATAGAATAGATACCTCTACAGTTGATGGCAGTGTAGACATGAATAGAACAGTATTGAATAGAATGGGATATGGAGATAAGGATACATTAAATGTGAGACCTTGAAGGTATTTAAAGCAGTGAAATACAACTGTCAGAGAAATAACTGCAGTGCAGACAAACTTTTGCAATTCATAAGGATGGATTTTGATAACACATGACCTCGAAAACGCAATTCTTGTATGCTAGATTTAAGTAACTCACACTGACTTCAAAAGAAGAATTTGAAGGAGGAAGGTCCTGGACTGGATTAAAGCCAGCAACATACCCATGAAAGATTATATATATTTTAGTCAATCCTAGACTATCCAGCTTCTTGGCACATGGGTATTTTTTTTTCTTAATCAAAATGTAAACCTAATCTCCTTTATTTTCTTTTTTCCTTCATTTTCTTTCTTTCTTTTAAGTTTTTCACTAGGAAATTCCCATTGAGATACAACAGCTTATTTCCAAATGTATTCAGGGACAAGAGGGAAATTCAGAGAGCAAAATTGCATTGATACCGCAAGTACAGAAAAAGTAATCATTTTAAATATTCATACCTATGTTTTAACTCTAAACTCTGAAAGACTGAACAAGTCCTCCAAATATCACAGTGATTGGTACAATATAAAACTCAGAGTAAAATAGATAGGTTTCTGTACCTCTGACCGTAGCAGATAATATGAAAGTGATACACTTTTTAGGTAAAATGCAAGCAACAACAATTAAATTTTGGCTCAAATATATTGTATGTATATATTTAATTTTTCTACACAATTATTTATATATTTAATTCTAAGACAACTTTCACTAGCTGAAATAAAGATTATAAGAAAATGTATTAAGGAAGATTACTTAAAATAAAGAGGGTAAAAATCTCATTAGTCTGACAGGCCATTCCGCTTCAGATAGTATACATTCCTCCCTCCCCTCCACAAAGGTAGAAAGGAAATATATATTTTAATAAATATTTACCTAGCTTCCAATTAAATTTTCTATGTTGAGGAGAAACAATTTCTTGTCTGAGCCTTCTCACCAGGCATCATTTCACATGTTATTCTGTGGACTCCAACAAAAAAAGAACTTTTACTGTTACATTGGGGTTTTTTTAATACCTCCTCTCTGAGGTATGACTCCTGAAGCCCAACATAAAGTAACACATATGTGTGCACAAATATATCATATAAAATATTTCTACTTAATATTTTTCTTTTACTATGTATTGTGTATACTTATATATTTTCACCATGCATCCTTTCACAGCATCAATTCAACTTAGGCATACATTTAGTGATTTATTATTTTGGTTCCTTTTTTCCCCATCCAAGCACCTAATTGTCTCTTCCTCTTTTCCAAATCCATTTCCTCTTCCAGCCTCCCCCGCATCATCTCTCCCCAAATGTTTGCCCTCCAAGGTGTTCGCAGTCATCTCTGCCTCCTCTACTAGCCTTTTACAACTAAGACATATCAGAAACTAAGCCTTTTACAACTAAGACACATCAGAAACCCAGTTACTTCTTCCCAAGACACCACTATTGTCCTTCTCTTCTTCCAACCTCTTTCTTTTTTTTCCTACTTTCTTATCTTCATCTTTATCACTGATCTTTTAGATGTCCACCCCACACATTAATTTAATATCTCTCACGCCGAGGATCCTCCACACCCCCTACCATCTTCTTTCAAATTCCCAGGTTGTCTCAAACTTTACTTATTTCTACTTTCTTCCTCTTTCCCATTCTTCCACTCGCCATGCCCCTCCAAGTTTTTCTATTCCAGAGTGATTACTGCACTCAGCCTCTTCCCAAAATGTGCTTTCCTGACTACTGTTATATCCCCTTCTCCTTGTCAGTCCCTAAGGGTCACTAATCATGAATCAGGTTCTTCCAAAATCATCAAATTGAACTTTAAAAAAATCTAACTTTTTATAAAATAAGATGATGGGGGTTATTTGCCTTCTGGTATTTGAGCCTGTAAGGATTATATTTTCTGCACAATTGTGAGGGTTAGATATGTATTACTGAACTTTTTACATGCTCATGTGAGTCCATCAACTGAGGATTTAATGAGAAAAAAATCCTTTTTCATCATGAATTGGCAATACTATTTATAGTCAAGAGCTCCACACCTGCTCTGTGGGCTTTCAACAGAAAAACTTTTCTCTTGACTAGTTTCAGTGCTCTTGCTTTTGATGCCTAGTCTAAATTCCTTGGGCTTAATCCTGGCTCCTGATCCCGGACTCTGAGGGCACATCTACATGTGAGCTTTTATGCACATTAGTGTATTTCAATGTACATTATAGCATCACAAAAAAACCGTTGCTCTTTAGCTAATGCCCATTAAAACAGGCTAATGTACCTTTTTCTAGTACCTGACAATGGAGGGCATGCTCCAGGAGTGGGGCTGCTTTAATTAGAGTAGCTCCAAGAGAGTCACATGTATCAGAGTCCCAGTGCTTAAAAATGGTGCTTTAACAGTGCACCAGAGCAGCCTCACTGCATGTGTATAGGCACCTGGAGGTACAAAATTTAATGTGCTTTACCTAAGGCACATTAATGAACATGTAGACATGCCTTGACTTTCCTAATCTACTTCCTGGTCCCTGTTCCCTAGCCATGTTCCTGCTGGCCTTCTTAACCTGAACCTGCGCTTTGCTCCTGCCTAAATCCTTGTCCACTTCCTGCCTAATCTGTTCCTGCCCTGCCTGTTCCTGTTTGGGATTGCCCAGTTCAATCAATGGCTTACATCAATCATAAACCAGTTTTAATTCCTGGCTTGACTGGAATTAGACCTTAGGCTGCCCATGCCTTCCTTTAATTCTTGGACTCCTTGTTTCTGGTCTCCAAGGTTTTTACCCTTAACCCCTGAACCCTGACATCCCACATCTGTGTCAGTCAATGACACAAAGGTTGCAATCTGCCCTGGCTACCCCAAGGTTCCTTTTCCCAATATTGTCCACCTTTTTCTAATCAAAATTCCTTCCTTCCTTCTACAAGGGAAGAGGAGCTGAAACTACTGCTACTGCTGGATTGGAGGCAAGAGTTTGTGACTTCCACAGCTGACTCAGGGTATAAAAAGAAGTTGCCAAATGATGTAGAGCACCTGTGCTGATCCTTTTCATTAGATGAAACATATAACATCTGTTGTCCTGCCTACTGATCCTGTGCAGATCCTTCTTACAGAGCCATGCCCTGGGGAACGTCCAGGGCACATCTCTGCATGTGGAGAAAACTGAGGTTCCTTGCTTACAGAAATACCACCCTGCTCCACAAGGAATCTCTGGGGTTTGACTCTGTAATCAGGGAAAACTGAGCAAGTGCTCCTGGAGTCACAAACCCTTTTTCAGGGTCACAAATTTGTGGCATTTTTGGCATGACAAGTGGTATAGACATCTGTTTGCTTCCCTGTTGTGTGGCCATAACAATTTTAGGGAGGCACAGAGGTGCAGTCTGTAATGTCTGTTCATACCCTATACCCCAGCCTGGTCAGATACTGCAGCTGCAGCTGCTGTTGCTGCTGCATGGCCAGGCAGGGGCTGGAGTTCTCCTGTGCTTATGCCCAGGAGGGAATAAAGCCAAAGCCATGCCTAATGGTAAGCAGCAAGGGGAGAGGAGGGGCCAAGCCTGTAGGGGGTAGGCAGGGAAGCA